ATTTTCCCTCGCCCCTGAGTGCTGGGCCGTCTCAGCCCCCTGACAGAGCCCACTCCTCAGGTCATGGGCTCTGTCCTCTAATCTGGGAGCTGCTGTGGCCACTGAGCTCCTTCCTCCCTAAGAGGACCATGCTTTTCCCTGTGCTCCCAACAGGGTCACAGACCAGAAATAAATGTCACACGGGACCCACAGAACAAAGGGCATTCCTGAGGTTTTTAGGTTTTTGTGGGCTGCCTGGCATCACCTGAGAGTCAGGAAGGAGTCCCAGCTTCCTAGCTGTGATGTCATTAACCCCTCAAATGAGACAGAGACAAACCATGGAACAAAACTGAGGGTTGCTGGAGGGGAGGGGAGTGGGGAGATGGGGTAGCAGGGTGATAGGCGTTAAGGAGGGCACATGATGGGATGAGCACCGGGTGTGTTTTTTTTTTTAAGGTTTTATTTATCTATTTGACAGAGAGAAAGAGAGTGAGCACAAGCAGGGGGAGCGCCAAGTAGAGACAGAAGGAGAAGCAGGCTCCCCGTGGAGCAGGGAGCTAGATGCGGGGCTCCATCCCAGGACCCTGGGATCATGACCTGAGCCGAAGGCAGATGCTTAACCGACTGAGCCCCCCATAAAACCCATAAAACACTGGGGTTTACACGCAACTGACATATTACTAAACTCTGCATCTGAAACTAATGATATACTATATGTTGACTAATTGAATTTAAATTTTAAAAAACGTTAGAATTAAAAGGGACTTTGAAAATAAAAAAATATAATAAACCCTCAAATGATCCAATCTGGTTTGCACACATTGTCATGCGCGTGCAAGCGTGCGCACACACATACACACACACCCCATCTAGCTGCGATAACCATCCAATCCCGTGCCTCCCTCCGGACACTAAATCATCAGGATACACCAGCTAAGCTCCCAGCCTTGCCTGGCAAAATTTAATTTTTTAAAAAAATGTTAAACAATCCCATCCCACTCGATTTTCATCAAGAGAGCCTTAAAAAAACATTTAAATTCATTGATAATAAATCCCGCCCCTCCCCCGCGAGCATCACCCGCACAGCTCCCGGGTCTCACTCCTTATTCCCCAGTGCTCAGGTCTCATCTGGACTCATTCATTAAGACGGGATCTCTGGGGGGGGTGTCAGATTTTCAAATCTCTGGGCAATTCCAAAGTGCAACCAAGGGCGACAAGTTAGACTATACCAAGGATGCCCTTTAGTGAAGGTCGAGAATCAAGGCTGAGAAAGACATAGGGAGACCCACACAGTGGTCGGGGGGCCGAGGGGGCGGGCCCAGGTGCCCAGTTCCTCCCCGAGCTCTGGCAGAGCTGCCATTAAAAATGGGGGGTGGCTGGGAGTCTCAGGTGTGCACTGGCCAAGACGGCGAGGACCGGTGCATGCCTGGGCCCCGCGACCGCCCAAGGACCCGGACACTTTCGTGGCAATCTGCATTTCAGCCTTGAAGGGTGGAGGCCGGCAAGGCAGGGCAACCTGTGAAGGAAACTGCCCAGAGAGATGGGACGCAGGCCCTTTGTGCGGGGGCATTTGCGAGATGCAGTGGTTCATTTCTTAACTCTCATTGCGATTCGGTTCACGGGAGACTCCCGGAATGTCTTTATCCATCACAGATGGTTTGGGAAGATGATAAATTAATATCGTTCAAATAGAGACACGGCTGGAACGGTCCAACAGCAGTGTCTTCTTTGCCGGCTCTAAAGAGAAAAGAGCCCCTGAGTCCATAAAGAAGACAAATGGTAAACAAAACCGCCTATCTTTTGACAGATTCCAGGATGAGTATCCTTCACAAACCATTCTGCAGAGAAAAGGGAGAGATTCATCTCCTCTGACTTTGTATGGGACAACAGACCGCGCCATAATGAGGCCTTCCCAGTGGTGTGAAATTACGCTGAATAGCGGCGGACTGCAGCCGCCTGTGTCCCCGGGCATGTTTATTATGGCCCTTTGTATGCACCAGCCTGGCCAGCCCCGGTTTGGTTCTAAACCAGAGGAGGGGAGAAAGAACCCAACGAATCTGTTGCTATGAAACTTCCCCAATGGGGGGACCGCCCAGTAACGTTTGGAATCTGATGCCCTTGCTCCAAGCTGCTCTTGTCTGGGTCCACCCCTGCTCTAAAGTGAGCGAGGTCGGGAGCCCAGCCAATCGCCAGCAGGGCCTGGGTGGCCTCAGCCCCCTGCCTGGGGCTCCTCCCGGGCCCTGGGAAGTCAAGGGTAAAGAGGGCCCCAGTGGCCATTCCCAAGCAGCCTCAGGTCAACGGCCTCTGCCAGTTGTCCCAGTTCCCCAGTGAAATGTCCCCGCGACAGAGCAAGCAAGTACACAACCGGAGGCTACAGTGGGGCTCCCCGAGGTCAGCCCCAGGAGGCCGGGGCCGCATGCCACCGGGGCCAAATGCTTCCAGCAAAGGAGCCGTTTCCTCAAACCAACCCACCCTGGGAAGACAAGACACTGGACAGGACAGACAAATGGACAGACGGATGGACTCCGTGAGGGTAGGGTGGGGACGGCGACTGCCATCTGAAGACCTCAAGGGTACACAGCCCTCTCTGCTGGGGTCTGACCTCCCGCAGCTGGTCTCCCCCCGACGACGCCCCCAGATGTAGGGTCTCCATTGGGTGGGGAATGTCTCATGGGGAACAGGGGATTCAGAGTTCCCACTGGTCCTGAGGGGCTGACACCAGACAAAAGAGAGCAAAGGGGAAAGATCTAGAACTTTCCACACCGAAGAACCGGCAGGACCTTTCAGGTCACAGTCTTCCTGTTCACTAATCAGAGAATAGATCGTTTGGGTAGTGTCTTTCCTTGCCCATCAGATGGCAGGATCCTCGAAGCACTGCCTTTCCCCGCCAGGCAGGAGGTACCGTGGAGTCCCGCCCCCCCGCCTGCCACATTTCCCTGGCAAGACACGCAGGCATCCTTCTGCATAGAATCTGCCCTCATACTTCTCTCTTCCCTCAGCCTCTTCACTCAAGGTCCCACTACGGCTGAGGGCAGCTGCTGTCCAAGGCTCCGAGGGACCACAGAGCCACCGAGGCCAGCCACAGCGTTTGAAATAAGAAGACAGGACCACACCCTCGTCTGCCTGTGCCTGTCCCGCCTGGGAACCAGCAGAGTGGCAGAGCCCCAGAGGACAACCTGCAGGTTCCTAGGACCTGGTGGCCTCCCGACATCTCAGCCTGAGCCAGGAGAGGCCGCAGGTGGCTCTCCCGCCTCCCTGCATGCAACAGAGGAGAGGGACGGGAGGTGAATGGTGAGATGACCGAGGCCCGCTCCCTCCTGCCTCTCCAGGGGACAGGTCTTTCCTGCTCTGAGGGCGCATGACCGCTGCCCTTCCGCGCACAGCTGAGACCCCCCAACCACGGGCATAGGGCTGCCCACCTGAGTGGCCCCTGCTGATTAAAATTCCCCTGCCAAATCCCCAAGAAATCTATGTGCGACCGTTGTTTACAAGTCCTTTGATTTCTTCTGTAAAGGGAAGACGACAGGCAAAGAAGGGCCTGGACACCTTCCAAGTTTGGTCTCTGAAAACCCAAAGCCCATTCTCTCTCCCCGGTCATGCTCCTGCTCGTGCCTTCCGGCCACCGGAGGCATTTCTGAGTCCCTTCACTTCCAGCCACCTTCTCGGTGGGTCCCTGCTCCAAGTCGCCCCAGGGGAGTCACACCTTGATTCGCTGGTTTGGGATGTGGAAATAGCCGGGCCACCTTTAGGGGTAAATTTCTCTTGACAACCACCAGAGGCAGCCTTAGGTCCACAGATCTGGGAGGACAGCTCGCTTGTGTCCTGGGAGCCACCCACGATTCATCCCTGCTCCTGTGGAACCGAAGGGGCTCCTCCTGGAGGAGACAGGCTGGGAACCTGTTTCGTTTTGGCGGAAAGAATTCTCCACCAGCGGGGCCGGCTTCGTGGGCCCCGGTTGGTGGCGGCTCTGCTTGCTGCCATTTTAAAAACCTCTTAGCAATTCCTCTAAAAGAAGCCCCGTGTTGTCATTCTGCGCTGGGCCGAGCCATGGAGCCGGTGGTCCGCACGCTTGTCTGACATCTGGCAGATTTCCGGATAAGACGGGTTTCTGGAAAGCAGCTGCTCCTCTGAGCCTGACCCTGATGTGGCTTGGGTCTTGCTCATGTCAGGGTCTACACGGGTCTGTCTCAGGACCCCGATCATGCCAGATGGTGGCCCCAAGAGCCCTCGGAGAGAAATCTCTTCTTGGGAACCCAGGCTCACGGCAAAGCCCCGGCTCTAGGGCCTTAAGTTTTAGACGGGGGCAGCCCCGGTTCCTGGAATTCTGAAAAGCAAATGTGGCCTGGGGGGACCCCCAGGACTCCCCCCACCCCCAACAATAACACTGAGTTCCTGGCATTTCACAGCTCCGAGTTATCTGACCATTGCTTCATTTTTGTTGGGGGTTGGGGGGGGTAGAGAAAACACAACAGCAGAAAGGGAGAACATTCGGTCTCCGGTCTCCCTTTAATTTTTTTTGTCCTCAGAAGGAAAGCTGTTTGCAGGTGGATTAAATGTTCCCCTGCCCCCGAAGCTGCCGACCTCGCCGCGACCGTGACCGTGCGTGTCTGTGTGAGTGCCGGGAGGCCCGGGGAGGGGCCGGGGCGCACACACATCCAAAGAAATACGTCTGCGTGGTTCGGGTAAAAGAGGGCCCTTTGTGCGGCCGGTAAGCCCGGTGAACATGACCCCCGCCCCCTGGTATGCAGCACACCTGCGCCTGGAGGAGCAGCCGGGCGGGGGCGGGGGCCCTGCACCCTCGCGGGGCTCACACCTTCTCCTTTCTTCTCCTTGGGGCCACGTCTCCACCGCCCCTTTGTTCCGGCTTACACCCCCAAATACCAGGGAGGCCGTGCGTGCGCGCGTGCGTACATGCGAGCGAGCGAGTGACGCGGACCCGGTCGAGGCCGGTGTGCATGGGGACAAGGGAGGACAGAGGAGAGGACAGGAGGACCAGTTCCCGAGGCCCCGCCCCTGCCTACCTTTGCAGGCCTTGCGGTGGGTGATGGGCTTGCCCATGTCGCGGTAGTAGCCCTCCTTGCAGTAGTGGCAGTGGCGGCCGGCCGTGTTGTGACGGCAGTTCAGGCAGACGCCCCCGCTCTTGCGTCCCGACAGCTTGTAGAGCTCCATGTTGAAGCGGCAGCGCCGGGCGTGTAGGTTACAGTTACAGGCTGCGGAGGCAGGAGACGCGTCAGGGCGGGGCAAGGGAGGGACTGTCCCCGGCCTCCCCCCCGCTCCGCTGCTGGGCCGCAGGAGGGACTGTCCCC